GAAAAAGGGAACAAGTGCATTTTCATACCAGCTTTTCCTAATAAAGTTGTACAAAAGACCTTGAAGACTGAGATGCAGTGGGGGTATAGATTAGAAAGAGTATGGATGATTGATAAGAGGAAAATGTTAGGTATGGACATCACCTATTCGAAATCCTTGAATATAACGTAAACAGGGAAAGGACTTAAAGCATCTCTACGCCCTTTTTATCGATCATTCTTTTCCATGCCTACATGGATTGATTGTGATTCAATCCTATTTCAAGCAAATTTATAAAAAATCATTTTGTTGATATCTCTTCTTTTGTTCTCTTTACTTTTTATATTTATTCAGATATTGAATGCCTTGTGGAGGATGCGGAATCTGAAACTGAGGCTTTCGGTACCTCTTTGGTATTACTTCAACGCGAATTGACATTGGCGCGTGCAACACTTGAGTGTCTTGCTCTCGGACTTGACTTTATCTGCCCAGGTCTTGCTTGGCGCATCCTTAATGAAGCCCAAGTGAACCTCCTACCGGAAGGTCTTATCACTCCTAAAATGTTGGAGATAGACGCTGATGCATCAGTGAAAGTCGAAGCTTTAGCCGAATCTGTTGAGGATACCGCTGATGATAGGGCACACAATGCTAATGACGCAGATATCTTCGATTCTTCTATTTCTAATCTATTTTATACTTCTCTTAATAGCCAGCTTCCTTCAGATATCCATCAGATTCGAGAAGATTCATCCTCATCTAGTCGTTTTCAGGACCACATACCATTAACTTCTAATCCTGAACTTACCTTCTGCTTGAATGACTCTGCTTCTGATAGGCAGGCCGACGCATCACTTATTAAACCAAATTCTCCTGCAATTGACTCAGCTTCATATTCACCCTCTCGGCACTTGACGCCACTTGCCTGCATAGACTCGACCCAACTCGAGGTCTCTATTGCCAACTCTTCATCCAAGGATGTAGTGGTTCAATCCAACCATGATAATTCTACAGCCTCACCACTACCAGCCAAAAGGCCCAAAAACACTATGGTCAACAATAACTGCATTCAGGCGAATTACGCAACTGATAAACTTGAATCAATTTTAACTGAAGATGGGGATTCTGAAGAGATCAAGGCGGAGGATGTGCCTTCTATTGGGAGGCAACGGTTAACCTCCTTAGCTGAGGCATCGGCTGACTGTTCTGAATTATCCAACGACAACGATCAAATCGCCAATCACGAATCGGGTGATCGAAGTAGGGAATCTTTTCTTGAAGATCCAAATGAGCCTGTGTTAATAGCCTAGTTCTTTACCAGGACCATTTTCAAATACCCCTATTCCTTCCTTTCCATCTTTTCGTATGACTCTCCACGGCTTGTGCTAATTTTTTAAGTTTGACGTTGCCCGTTTGAACAAATAAACTTTAGGCGTCAGTCGGTTGACTTCTAATATCATGAATACTCTTACCAATCTCCCAGCCTTTTTTATTGCGCCTTACTTTTTTCATGAGTGATGGGTCTTTTGATGGCAGAAACATAAATCAGGAAATACGCATTTGAAAATTTTGGCTCGGATGGGTTCATGTCTATGGGCTGCTTCCTGTAAATAACTCCTAAAACAATACTTTTCCTTAGTCACCCATATCTCTACTCCATTCATTTTGCCTAACAGAGATGCCAAGGGATAGCTAAGTTTGGGGGATTTCAGGCAGCATTTAAATTCTTCACCTCCGCCTCCACCTCCCACTTATTTGTTTACGTCCTTCCATGCGCATTTCCTTCGCAAGATGTCGCTTGTCAATATGTATATATCTTACCTCTCACGTCTCGGACCTCCCTAATCTTCCTTTCCCCTCTCAGATTTTATTCCTTGCATAAAAATGGAAAATCTGAAGTGTATATATATGTCAAATAAATACTGTCACACTTTATTCCTAACTTTAACTATCTTTGATTAAAATATATCTCATAAAGCGCGTAATATCAAGTGAGCTTTGCCAAATTTGCCTAACCTAGCTTGACTATGTTGAAATACCTTTTATTTCGTTTAATGAGGCGAGACTTTCTACAAATTTATTTTGGCTATGCTTTTATTCACATTTTAGGTTGCTTGCACTTACATGGGTATATATAGTCTTACTTGTATAGCATTTTCAAAGGTTTATAAATCTACTTGATGAACCAATATCGCCTCTACAATTATGTTCGCAATATAAGCATTCTGATAAGCTTAACTTTAAACATTCTTGCTATATGCAATCAATATGGAATCATCTTAAGCTTTGTTGTCTGTATCTCTGAACCATATCCGGACAATTTAATTTAAAATTATCAAGATGACCCATGTCAGTTGAAAGCAGTTATTTTAAGAGAACAATTACCACCTTCGTTCAGTCTGAGTGATGCAAGGCCAGATTGCTGGGTCTC